ACTTTAAGGGCATTTAAATGGTCATTGGATAAACATATGGATGATAATGGAATAGTTTAGGTTAGATGGGCTTCAGATTGGTTTCACAGGTCGGCGCAACATCGAGGGCCGAAGGGCCTGTAATGTTCTATGTTCTATGGTGGAAGTAGTTAGCATTGGTTCATGCAAATAAAAGTGTGATGGGTTAAGAATCCCAGTCTGGATTACAGTACGTGAGTCATTACAGACATGACCCATGCCAAGTACATAAGCCTAGGAGGAGCAAATGATTGACCCATGATTCTCAGCTTTCCACCACTGGAGGTTTCCTTCCTGTCATGTCAGAGTCTGTTGGAGATTAATTGATAGAGATTGTCATAATTAATCAATCAACAACCCCATTGCTGTTTTATTGTTCAACTAGGGAGGGAAACTGGCTTATAGAAATGGTGGGGAAAAGTGCTGATTAAAACAGAACAAGCTGTCTAGTTCATCCATTTGAGATTTTTTTTAAAAAATGGAGATAGCATTCAGTCACTGAGCCAATTTGACACCAAAACAATTAAAAATGATCTTACATAGTACTTTAGTTGCAGGACAGCCTGACCCTCCAAGCATATTCCAGTCTTTTTACAAAAAAAAAAAAAAAGACCGAACAACAACTTTAAAGAGTTCCAGCTTGTCGCCTGGCCTGTATAAAAGAGAGAAATGTGAAGACAAACATTTTGTTATGACAAGTTTCCAGGTTCAAGCACGGGGGGGGGGTGGGGGGAGGAGGAAGAGAATTCTTGGCGTTAGAGATTCCCCAACACGGAGTTTAACTCCACAGCATGTCACTGATCAATTGGACACCTCAAGGTAAGGTGATTGACAATCTGAATTAACAATTGGGTGGGGAGCATATCAGTGAAGGTTACACAATGTTAGGAAGGTCAAACAGGGCACTGGCAGGGGTATTGATCAGTGTGGGGCTGCCAGTGGAAGGGGTGACAATGGTGGAGGTCAACTGGGAAAGGGCAAAGTTGATCAGTTGGGTTTCAACTTGAAACCATAGCAACATGCTTAGGCCATTCTACCCCTCAAGCCTGTTCCAACATTCAGTGAGATCATGGCAGCTCGGGTGGAGTATAGTCATTGTTCCACCTTTGTACAAAAAGGAATAGGAAGAAAGATGGATGTGGTCAGTCAGAATTCTGGGAGTTAGGCAAGAAAAAACCAACATGCAGGCCTTAAAGTAGTAATTCGTTGGATTACTTGGTTACACATGCAAGCTCATGTATGAGCAGGTAAATAAAACAGAAGGAAGTGCTTTAGATTCATGGAATATTGGGACTGGCTCTGGCAGAAGTGGGACCTAGGCTAGACAGGTTGCACACAAAACTGGGACCGATTTCCTTGTGGGCCATTTGATATTGCTACTGGGGAGGGTCTAATGCAACTTAGTAGGGGTATGGGAACAAGGAGACAAATATCCAAAAAAGGAAGATCAAGGTGCACAGGATACTGACAGACGAGATTGTTGTGCAGAAGGAAGTGGGTCATTAGGTGACTGGAGTTATCAGAGTGAGGAAGGGTTAGTAAAGTCTAAACCTGGATTCCTGTACATGTGGATGCAAAGAATGTGATAAATAAGATTGCCAAGTTTAAGGTGAAGATTACAATACGGAAATATGATGCAACTATAACAGAAACGTGGCTCATAGAGGGATAGCACTGGATATTAAGTATTCCTGGGTACAAAGTCTTCAAGAAAGATAGGAAAATTAGAGTAGTGGCAGTATTGATTAAAGAGAACTTGATTGGCTGGAGAGAAGGATGTGTCAGAGGGGTAAAAGAGAAAATACATTTGACTATAGCTGAGGAACAAAAAAAAATTGTCAACTCTAGGCTTCGATAAGATGGGTAGACTGACTAGTCAGGACCTTACTATGGGAATGCTGCAGAGATTGTCATTTAAGTTTTTCATTAAGTTATGCAGAAACTCTTTCCTACACAACAGGGTCTGGTTGTGAATATTTGTATCTTCTAGCACATGCTAATAAAATACTTGCAAGTTTGACTGATAATATTAAATTAGTTTCCTCTAATTCCATAGCACAGTCCTGATTATTCAGTAATTATTGCCCAATAGCAGAATCACACTTAGTGCTTGGGCACTGTTTTGAGGCTTTCAAACAGATTGGATGAGCAGTTTGCATTTACTTGTTGCATTCAGGTGGGAACAGATGCTGTCCAGTGCATGGTGAGAAGTTGCTTAGAGACTCAGGAGGGTTTCAAATGGATTGAAGAGCTATTGGATAGGTTATCAATGCTTAGTCTGTATCAGAAGCCTGGATCAGTTGGGATGTATCCAAGGTTATTAAATTGTGAAGGCACTGACAACAAGTTTTCAGTCTTTTAGACTCAGGAGTGGTGTCAGAGTACTGGAAAAACACAAACATTACACTTATTCAAGAATGGGTGAACAGATAAACCCAGCAACTACAAAAATCAGTCTCCTCACCATTGACAGGTAGGCTTCTAGAAATAAAAACAGAAATTGCTGGAAAAACTCAGCCTGGCAGCATCAGTGGAGAGAAATCAGAGTTTGTGTTCTGGGTCCAGTCCTGAAAGATTAACTTGGATTTCTCTCCAGATGCTACCAAACCGGATGAGTTTTTCCAGGAATTTGTTTTTATTACTGAAGCTTCTAGAAATGATGATTCAGGATTAAGTTAATATTCACTTTGGAAAGTGCAGGTCAAAAAAGAAAAGGCAGAACAGACTTGAAGGCAAATCATTTTAAATAACTGGAGTTTGAAGGACTGGTAATATATTGTATATACATGTCCTAATGCAATTGATAAAGTGTCATTTGACAGATGACAGCAGAGTTATAATGGAATAAAAAAGGGAAGAATAGCAATATCATGTTTAAAACTCTCCCAACAGCCTCCTCGGAATGGATTTAGTCCTACACATTTCCTAGCTTCAGTCTAAATGGCAAAGAATGAGTTAGAGGCCAAAAATACATGTTTGTCAATAAAATTCAGCCCTACATTTTGCAACACTGTTTTGAATCTGTTACATTTAAACAGAAAACTGTCCACTGGGGATTAGGTCATTGCTTGAGCCAATGTTGGCATGTCAACATCCTTCTCCCTGCTTATTTCAACATATGTTCATTGTACAGCAATTATACAGTGAAGGAGACACAAGATATTAAGAAATGAACAGTACAGAAAGAGCTCCAACTGACCTCTCCTCAGAAGGCTTGTCCTGTACCGTCCCTCCAGGGTGCAGTTCCACCTCTCAAACCTGAACTGGTACTGACACTCAAGGGCACTCATACTGATTGCTTCCATGAGGGTCTCTGCCACTCCAGGGTCCCGACGGCACATTCGCCGTTGTTTCCGCTCCAGCTTCAGACGGTCACAGACCTTGAAGTGGGCCTTCCCGTGTGGCTGTCCTGTTTCTTGAGTCAGAGGCAAGATGGTGAGTGGTTCATTACCAGTTAAACTGTGAAGGAAAGGAGAAAGAGGGAAAAAAGGAAAACAAAAAAGCCATGAGTGTTGAAACTGGAGGAAAGGCAGGTTTTCCTCAGAAGAATTTGAACATAATCCACATCAACATTCCTCAGACATGCAATTTAGCATACTGCAGGTCTAGTATAGTGTGGTCTAAATAATCAATCCCCTCAACTTTGTTTCATCAAAACACTCCCAGGTTGTGTAAGGAATGCATTAGATCTGGTTTGAAGCTCACATTACATTCTACAAGGATTAGTAGGAAAATAAGTAATAGGAGAAGGTTATAATCATTGATCTCTGCCTTTTCAGTTAGAGCATGGTTAGTCTGCACTCCAACTCTATTTGCCCATCTTTACTCAATATATTGGAGAGAAGAGCACTAGCTCTTGAGCCATAATAGGTTACAGCTTTGCACTGCTTTCTACTAGTCATGACCACAAATTTATATGTTATGCTCTATTGCAATGTTGTATCATTCAACAAACCAATACCAGAGGATCAAGAAAGCTGGCCATTGCCAGCATTTACTGGCCTGGAGAAGGTATCATTGTCCATGTCCACAATACAAGAACAAATGAGAAAATTTGTTTTCTGGGTCAAGTATTAAAGTAAGGCTCTGTCTGACTGTCTGCTCAGCTGGGTACCTGGTAATTTATGTTGACGTTTCTGTTGCCACAACTCTAATGTTAGGGAGTTGCTCCAGTCAACATCAGCGGCTGCCATTAGACAGAAATGGCAATTCATCTCATTGCTGTCTTTGGGATCTTGCCAGGTGTAAAAATGGCTGCTGCTTTCGTCTACACAAGAGGGTGAGAGCACCTCAAACACATTTCATTGGTTACAAACTGTTGTGGAATAGCCAATGCGGTGTCATGGAAACTTTAAACTCTGTGCTTTACTATCTATCAACTCTCTATAGTTCCTTCGTGTTAGCCAAAGTTGTCAGCTGCAGAACCACTTGCCTCTAGCCAACTCTTGAGAGCTTGGTACCAAGCAGCTGGCAGTGACATCAACTTTTTAAAAAAGTGAAAAATGACTGATCCAAACAGTTATGAAGTCAAGACAGAGTTCTATGGTCAAGACATGGAGAAATAACTTGCATTTAGTTATCGTGAAAACCAACTCCCCTGATAGATAGTTAGTGGGACTCTGCTGTTCCACAATGGACGCCAATTTTGCATATGGTAACCGTAACAGGCCTTCAAGAAGTACTGCCTGTTTTTGAATAGTGAGGTGCTTGAGAAATACGGAATTGGTCACTATACACACACTAATTATGGGCTATTGTAAGTCACATGGAAGGCAGATCACAAAGTCAGTGGGGGGTGATCATGATCATTTCTGATGGACGTGTCATCCTCAAAAAGGCAGCGGAAACAGAGTCCTTGAATATTTAAAAAGGCACAAGTAGATAACTTTTCATGCTAAACAAAATCTGAAAGAACCATGGATGCTGTAAATTGGGAAAACATTAACTCTGGCGTTTCTTCACAGATGCTGTCAGATCTCATGAGCGTTTCCAGCAGCTTCTGTATTTCCACCACTGTCCCTAATTTATGCTGTTGCTCATGAAAAATCTATGGCATTAGCAATCATACTTTGAAATCGTGAAGCAGGTGAGGGGCCAAGTAGCTTACTTCTGCTCCTAATTTGCTCAAGTGCTGTTCAACACAATTCAACCTTGTGGTCTGCAGAATGAGTGTGAACTAAAGTTCAGGACTCCAAAATGCAAAACAAGTGGAGTTTCCAATCTGGCAAGGAATTTCTACCAGAGATTTTTAGGGGATGATCTGTAAAAATCCCCAAAGAAACAATTTTGTCAAAGGTTCCATGGACTTCCAATTAAGTAACGCCAGGTGATTGACATAGTCCACATAGAAGTGACTAGCACATGGTTACACTCTTACAGCAGCTTTACACGTTTCAGTTAGATGATAAGAGTCAAAGAAAGTCAGAAGGTGGCAGAACCTCAAACCATTTATCTCAGGAGTTCACAGCCATACCTCCAACTTGAAATAGAGAAAGCCAAATTCTGAAAGTCCATTCTTCATTTGAGGAGTAAGCTAGGATTATTCATTGTTTTTTTAATGTGGAAGACTAGGAGAGAATTATTCAGATTTCCTCCTGTTGATGTTCATTTCTAGAAATGTGAAGTCCAGCTGAGGCCACAATCCATCTAGACAGACATCTTTCATGTTTGATTAGACAACTGACACTCAAATGGTTCAGGAGTGAAAAATATACCAAAGCCTTCACTGAAAGGAAGGGAAATAAGCTGACTGCAACAGTAGAGGGACAGCCACTTCATATAGGACATTACTTGGTTGAGAAGTACTTTGCAAAGTCAGCTTGCAGCCTTACTGCAGCTGAGTATTTGCACCAACCTAAATTTTAGAAAAAAGTGGCAAAGTCCAAGCGTGAGTTCTTTTCTGGAGAATTGAACAGTATTCCAATCTTAATTCTCTTGCACAGCACTGGGAGCACATTGGGCTTTTGGAGCTGCCATCTGTCAAAGGAAAGTTGCCCTTAGCACTATTTCAAAGAACAGTGATGTTCGTGTTAGTGTCCTAGCTAAGACTATCAATTAACATCACAAAAAGGAGATTGTCTAGCCATTATCCCATTGCTGCTTGTAGGACCTTGTTGCTGGCAAATGGTGGCTTTGTTTCATACATAGTAGCTACACTTCAAAAAGTAATTCATTGGCTGTAAAACCATCTGGGATATCCCAGGATTCATCTTTTATTCTCTTTCCAAGAGTTCTTCCTAGTTTATGCCAATATTTTCAATAATGCTTCCCAGAGGTCATGGAAAATATCTTTGAAACACAATTAAAAGCAAGTTTGGAATCTCATTCATTACTCATACACAAATACCAACAATGACTTAGGCGAGATGGGTAAAAGGTTCTATTTGTTAAGATATGGAAGTTAGTGCTACAAAATGGATTACTTTTCATTTCAGATACAAAGTGTTGGAACCAATCATTTGAAATCAGGTGATTGAATAGTTAGACAACAATAAAATGGTCCATGGCAGTGCCAATATCATACTCCATACTCAAAGTACTCACAGCAGGAGAAATGGGAATAAATTGGGGCTGCATGGTGGCTCAGTGGTTAGCACTGCTGCCTCAGAGCCAAGGGCCTAGGTTCAGTTCCAGCCTCAGGCAGCTGTGTGGAGTTTGCATGAGTTTTCCTCCATTGCTCTGGTTTCCTTCCCACAGTCCAAAGGTGTGCAGGTTGGGTAGATTGGCTATACTAAATTTCCTGTAGTGTGCAGGCTAGGTGGATTAGACATGGGAAATGCAGGTTTACGGGGATGGTAGGTCTGAGTGGCATGCTTGGAGGATCAGTGTGGACTTGATAGGCCAAAGGCTTGCTTCCATCCTGTAGGGATTCTATGAATTATTGCCATTTCATGATTACTTGGTAATATCTCTGGATGCGATAGGTCATCCCATTCACATAGTACAGTGACCTTTTACCCAGTTTAATTAGTGCTTTGTAAAACAGAAGTTGGATAGAAAAACAAAGTTGCAAAAAGAGGAGAAAGATTACCTAATCAAACTAAGTGTACGACTAGAGGAGTTGACTTAAAGTGTACATCCTGCACTTAATAGAAAAGGCTGGCTAAACCAAAAGGTTTAAATCCAAAGTTCTTAAATACCTAAACAAATATCTTATTCTTGAGAACACTACTGCGATTTCTGTATCAGAGTGATGGACACTTTTGTGCCTTCCCAACATGAGGAGCTGCTGATCTGAAACATGTAGCAGTGAGCAGTTGCCAAGTGGAATCCACGACAACAGCTTAGGTTTCCACAGCACAGCCCTTCTTGATGAAAGACATCTTAGAACGGAGCACTAAAGCAGAAGGGTAGAAAGGAAGACCAAGAAGTGAATTATAAAGGTGCAGGGCTAGCCCAAATCACCTGTCTTTGAGATGACTCTCCAACATATGCAAAGTGCAAAAAAGTTTTCACCTGGAATTTCAGGAAAATTCTGATTCCCATTCACTTTGAGGGACAAAATTTGGCAGAAACCACAAGGGGGAAATAAAGATAATTGAATGTCTGTATGCATCGTCTCCACTGTACTGAAAACAGATGGAGAATTTCTCACCCCTACCCCTGTAGGGGTTCTGTCCACACTCACTTTTCCTCAGGGTTATATGCAAAATTGCACTCAGGCACCTAATGTCAGGAGCTGAGTGGAGTGCTGTCACCCATTAAGTAGCTTTGCATTGGACCAGAAGTTATCCTGTAATGGGTGCAAACCTGAATTACCACTATAGAGCATCTTAGCCAAATGGCTAGCCCAATCATCTGCCAGATAATCTGAAAGCCAAATTGGGATTGGGCCCCATATTAAGTTGTGACTGGAGTGGAATTTTGCACCCGCTTTGAGACAGGTTTGCTGGCAGACAGAATGCCCTTAGTCAGGGACAGCAATGGTTGGACACTGGTATTTCCCACCTCCATCCCAATTAAGACTATGGCTGCAAGCCTTGTGGTTGGCCTTTCCATTCCAAAGCAAGTTGAGGCCCTTATATATACACAAAGACTTTTCCTGCCACTGCTAATATAAACTCAGCAGGAAGCAAACAGGAGCACAATAAGCGAACCCCATTGTTTGCTTACTAATTCCCAGGGAGGGTCTCCTCATCAAAAGCACTTGGTGCTTGATCATGGGGCTGGGTAGGAGGAAGTCTTGGGTGGGTGCGTGCACCTAAAGCTACAACACTGCTTTAGCTACAGAAGCATCAGCGCAACACCATCCTAAGCTTCTCACATATGAGCAGCATAACAACAACAGGAATCTCTTGTGTTGTAGACAAAGAAGAGGTACTACATTTACTAATATTTGACCCTAAACAAAAAAAGACAGGATATATCCAGTACGACCCAAATTTCCAGAAGTACAGTATTTTGAGTTTAAAAAATATGGAAGAATGTCTGTGTTGTGGGGCTTTTGGCAAGATGTGTGG